TTAACCAGTAACAAGAATAAAATAGGGAGTGCCATTATAGATCCTCTAAATAATAAGATGATAATAAAGAGAATATTATATACATTGACTTGTTATCAAAAAGCTTGATAACATAGATTAAATAGACATAGTTCTTCCAAAATACAAATGCCAATGTTCACTCAGAAAAAAAATCAATAATTTGATAGCCATACATTTTTCAACATAACTAGATCTTTACTTGAAACATCTTCATAGAAAGAAAGTCTCAGGTTCGGATGGTTTCACTTACAAGCATATAAAGAAAATATAATTCCCCCCTACTCCCAGAAGAATTCATTTCAGAGGACAGCACTGAAGCTACAGCTCAAGGAGAGGGACATGTCTGATCAGAGCACACAGAAGCAAATGAGGGGAGAAGTAAAAGGAGTGAAGCACATCCTGGCCCACCAAGCCCTGAGGACAATACTTTTGCTCAGAGCAGCCAATGCACAGAGAGGACCATAGGACCGGTCCCACCACCAGACAAGACGTCCCTCACCAACCCATAGCGATACAGGGGACAACACTGGAGGCACACTGCAGGAATTGTGCCCACTCTGACCCTACCACACCGAGCTGAAACACTAAGGGCATGCAACAGAACAGCAAAGGGAGCAGAGCAATGAAGTCCCCAGGGGATACCAAAAATAGACTGTGGGGCCAGGGCATGGCCCCCCATCAGACTCGACTGGAAAACACTCATAAAGGACAATAAACAGACCTTGAGCTATTTATAGGCTTTGCTTTTTTGGCTTTTTGTTGTTGTTGTTGGAGCTATTGTTTTATTATCTCTTGTTGCTTTGTTTTGCTTGTTCTTGTGTTTGTACACTTTACTATCTCTGCATGTCTATCTAGATAAGATAGACATGGGATAAACAGGCAGGAGGAGAAAACAATGGGAGGACAGTTGGGGTGGGGGACAGGGGAGAAGTGGAGGGGTGGGGTTGGGAGGGGAGAGGAGGGAGGAAGTGGGTGTTAACAAACCCAGGGACAAGGGAACAACAAGTGACTGAAAAATCGATGGTGCCGAGGGTATAGGAGGTCTGGTAGGGCTTGATCAAGGGCAATGTAGCCGAGAGGAATTATTGAAACCCAAATGGAAGCTGAACATGAAATAGAAGAAAGAACTAGGAGGCAATGGGCTTTTATAGAGATCTAAATACAGGCATGTACATATGTAAATATATTTATATATGACAATGGGGAAATAGATCTATGTACATATATTTATTGGCTTAGTATTAAGGAAGCTGATGAACATTGGGCCTCCTTTAAAGTGCTCCCTCAATGCAAGAACACTTTGTTCTATTTAACTGGCATTCCATGATGCTCACCTTCCCGACACTATCATAGAAGACAAAGCAGGTACATAAGCAAATGTGGTGAAGAAAGCTGATGGTGCCTGGCTATCAAAAGATAGAGCATCTGGAGTCTTAAAGGCTTGAAGATAAAAAGCGGCCATCTAGCTGAAAAGCAACAAAGCCCACATGGAAGAAGCACACCAGCCTGTACAAGCATGAGGTGTCAACTGGATCATGTATCAGGCATCAAAGACCCAGAGCAAAAAATCATAATGTGAATGGGGGTAGGGAGGAGTGCAGAGTGGAAGCCCAAAGCCAATCTGTAGGCAATTGAACATCCCCTTACAGAAGGGTCGTGGGGAGAAGATGGGCCAGTCAGGGTGCAGTATAGCACCAATGAAACATACAGCTTTCCTCTGGTTCTTTAATGCTTCCTCCCCTCCCACACACACTATCATAACCCTAATTCTACCTTACAAATCTGGCTAGACCAGAGCATATACATGGGTACAGATAAGAGCTGGAAACACAGGGAATACAGGATAGATAAACTCCTCAGGGCCAATATTGGGAGTTGCCATACCAGGAAGGTAAGGGGAAGGTGCGGGGAGGAAGGGGGAACCAATCACAATGACCAACCTATAACCACCTCACAGGGGGATGGACAACAAACAAGGGGGTAAAGGGAGACATGGACAGTGCAAGGTATGAAAAAATAATAATAAATTATAATTATCAAGGGTTTATGAGGGAAGAAGGGTCAGGGAGGGAGGGGGACAATGAGGAGCTGATACCAAGGGCTCAAGTAGAAAGAAAATGTTTTGAAAATGATGATGGCAACAAAAGTACAAATGTACAAATGTACTTAACACAATGGATGGATGGATGGATTATAATAGGAGTTGTATGAGCCCCAAATAAAATGATTAATAAAAAAGAAAATATAATTCCAATTTTATAAAAACACTTCCAGAAAATTAAAAAGAGGCTAGCTCATTAACAACTGCTAGCTCATTAACACAAAAACAGACAAAGGAATAATTAAAAAGCTACAGACTAATATCCTTTAAGAACATAGATATGAAAATCTTTATTAAATATTAGCAAACTGAATGAATTATATGGAACAGGTCTTATCTCAGGAATGCCAGCTTGACAGACATTTGAAAATAAAAATAAGTCAACAAATACACATTTTAAAATTATAAAACAGATGATATCAGTAGTGTGAGTTAACATTTAACAAAATACAGCATCCATTCATAACAAAAATTCTCCACAAACTAGAAATAAAAAGGAATTTCCTCAGCCTGATAAAAACAAGCAAAACCTACAGCTAACATCGCAGTAATGGTTAAAGACAGTTTCTCTCTCTGAGTGGGACCGCAGCAGGATTCTGCTCTCACAGCTTCTAGTAAACATTAAACTGGTGGTCACAGCCAGTGCAGTATGGCCAGAGAAAAGTGAGACAAACAGAGAAATGAAATTGCCTTTACTAGCAGATGTCATAATCATCTCCACAGAAGAGACCAAAGACTACAAGACCACGTCAAGAAGTCATCAGTTAACTTAGCAAGGTTAGCAGAACGCAATCTGTATGAGCAAACATTGGTTTTCCATACACTAGTAATGATCATATTGAAATTGAAATGTAAAGAGCCTCTACAGTAGGATCAAAAACAAATACTTAGGCATAAATCTAACAAAATACATATATAATTTATAGAGTGAAAATGATGAAATCATTTTAAGAGAAATTAAAGAATTACCTAAGTGGAATTTATATATCATGTTAATGAATCAGAAGACACACTATTGGAATCCTCTTCAAATAGATTCGTAGATTCAGTGCCATTCCGATCAAAATCTCAACAAACTTTTTCTAAGACTCAAAAAGCTGATTTTTAAATGTTATATATAAAGGGGGGGGGGACCTAGAATAGTTAAAAACAACTTTCAAAAAGAAGAACAAAGTTTTAAGACTTATACTGCCTGTTTTTCAAGTCTGTCTATAAAGATACAGTAATCTAAATAGTGTAACTCTGACAGAAGAACAGACATATGGATCAACAGTACAGTCGAGAGAGCCCAGGAATAAACCAACACACATATGGTCAGTATATTTTCAACACTGTTGCCATAGTAATTGAATGGGGACAGCCTTTTTAGTAAATGCTACTGGAACAAGGTACACCCGTTTGCCAAGTGACTCCGGAGCCCTGGTGGCATAGTGGTTCAAGTTCGGCTGCTAAAGGCAAGGCAGTACTTCGAAACTACCAGCCACTCCGTGGCCTCAGAAACCTACAAGGACAGTTATGCCCTGGGCTATAGGGTCACTTTGAGTCAAAACTGACTCAATGCAATGAATCTGATTTTAGTTTGCCAAATAAATTGACCTTGACCCCTTATCTCATGCAATATATAAAAATTTATTCAAAATGAATAAATGTGAAACCTAAAACTGTAAAACTTCTAGAGGATAGCATAAGAGGAAATCTACATGACTTTGGGTTAAGCAAATAAATATTTCTTACATAGAATACAAAAACCACAGTAGGTTTTATAATTGATAAAATTGACTTCAATCAAAATTTAAAGTATCTACTCTTTTAAAGAAATTGCTAAGTAAGTGAAAAGGCATGCCACACACTGGAAGAAAGTATTTTCAAAAACCATATTTGATAAAGGAATTGTCTCTACAATAACTAATCAAAATAACTCACAATACAACATAAAACAACCCAAGTTTGAAAGCATGGGCAAATGATTTGCATGCAGTCTTGACCAAATAAGGAATCTAGGTGGCAAATGAGTACATAAAACGATGCTTAACGTCATTGACAAAGTGCACATTTAAAACCACAACGTGATGATAATGTATATTTAACTTTCAATCGATTGCAACTCACAGTGACCCTTAAAAACTGAGAAATGCCCCAAAGGATTTCCCAGCTTGTAATTATTTACAAGCAGACTGCCACCTCTTTATAAATTAATGCGTGCATAAATCGGACAATACCAAATGTGGGATATGTTTCCAAAAATGTAAATTAAGGCAGCCACTTAGAAAAATAGTCTAAAACTATCCCTAATGTTGAACAGTAGCAATACTCCACCATCAAGATAAATAATCTGTGGCACAAGTAAACCATGGAGAACTACATGGCTGCCAAAATGAATGAACTATAATAATAAACAAAGTTTTAAAAGGGCAGAACTACCCCGTTGGGCTTCTGAAGTTGTGAATCTTTACAGGAATAGAAACTTCATGCTTCTCCCACGGAGGGATGGTTGGGTCCAATGGCTAAGCCTCCGGTTAGCAGCCCATCGCATAACACATTATGCCATCAGGGCTCCTCTGGGAGGGTTCAAGTTCCTGAGCATAAACTTTACAAAGCAGAAACAGTTGCCACTGAGCAGACACTGACTCATCGGTCAGAGAACCATTGTGCATGGAGTTTTCCATGGCTGATGCCTCAGATTGCCAGGCCCTTTTCTGATGGGCTCAGACCTTCCACTTCTCAGTCAACAACCACCACACCTACTGCTAAATTTATTTCTCAAGTAATTAGGCGTAAAGCTATGTCCTAAATTCCTTAAAGAGATTATACTACCACCTCTAATGTAATGAGTGCTAGTAACTTCAGGAAAACAAAGACACCCCAACCACCTGCTCACCTGTTGTGGCTGAGGGAGGCACTGATGGGTGTAGGCACTATAGTCTGTGACCCTTCGCCTTCTATCTCGGTACCCACGAGGCAGATGAGTTGGAGTTCTGGTAAGCCCACACAGTTGACTTCATGCCAACTCTTACCTGAAAAAATATTTGAAGAGACAGTGATATTTATCAAACATTAAAGATCATAATCTCAAACTTCGACATAGTCCTCAGCTGAGCAAATACCATACATAATGGTATGTTTTCTCTTTACTATGATAATCATTTGATAATTGCCTATAAAAATGAAAGAACTTATAAAATTAAAAACGAATACATACACAATGGATGACAATGTTACCAATGCTATAAACTCCAAAAAGCAAATTCACTGCCGTCAGGTTGGTTATGACGCATAGTGCCCCTATAGTCCCGCAGAGACCGTCCCCGGTGAGTGTCTAAGGCTGTAATTGTGCATGCGAGCAGAAAGCCTCATCTTCTCCCCAATCCCCATCCCTGCCCCAATTAAAATATGAACAGACAACTTACTCTCCATGAGATCCAGGTAAACCAAGAACGCTATGTACACGTGGGTAGCGTCTCCTATGTCTAATTCCATCATCTCTAAATACTGAAAATCAAAATGTAAGTGTCAAATAGAGAAGAAAGGATCTTTTACATTTTCTTTCATTTCAATGAACTTATGTAAACCAAAACCAAACCCCAGGAAGTCAAATTCTGATTCATGGTGACCCGGAAAGCATGTGCATATGAGGGGGACCCCAAAAAACAGAAAAAAGCTCTGCTGAGTGGAGCTTTTTCTTTATACAATCCATACATTCACCCATTGTGTCAAGCACATTTGCACATGTGCTGCCATCGTCACTTCCTTTTTTTTATTTGCTGCCATCATCATTTTCAAGGCATTCTCTTCCCACTTGAGCCCCTGATAGCAGCTCCCCATTCTTCCCCTACCACCTCAGCCCGCCCTCTCAGGAACCCTTGATAAACTGTAGTGCGCATTTTCCCCGCTAGGGGAGCATCAAGCCACACCCTCTGAATTAGTACACCCAGCGGCATCTCCAGGGCAGGTTCTCTCTGGTCACAGTGACTTTTTTTTGTAAAAGCAGTTTCACTTGAACCTCTTTTTTTTGTGATAGCCGATTCAAGAGAACAGTGTGTGGCTGTGAAATTTCGTTTCCTGCTCGGTAAAAATGCTGCAGACACTGTTGTGATGTTGGACACAGCTTACAATGACAGTGCTATGGGAAAAACTCAAGTGTACGAGTGGTTTTCTTATTTCCAAAAAGGTTAAATGTCAATTGATGACAAACATCGTTCTGGACATTCGCCAACTTCCCGAAAGGGCGGAAACGTCAACAAGTTTCGTACATTTGTGCTCAAAGACCAAAGAAGGACCGTTGAAGAGATGGGGAAGCAATCTAGACTATCTTGGAGCTCAGTTCAGCAAATGTAAACAGAAGATTTGAGAATGGGAGGGGTCACTGCGAAATTTGTGCCTTGGGTTCTCTGACTGACCAGGAAAAAGAGGGCTGACTGGAAACATGCTGCGCTTTGAAAGAACAGCTCCGCAGCAACCCAGACTTTCCCCCCAAGGTCATTGCTGGTGATGAGACCTGGTGCTTTCCTTATAACCCCCAAACCAAACATCATTCAAGTCACTGGCAGATGCCATCAAAGATGCCCACCATCACCTTGCCCCCCCAAGTGAAGTGAAATCAAAGATCAAGACGATGCCTATTGGTTTGGTTTTGATGTGAGGGGCTAGTGCACTTGGAGTTCATGCCACCAGGTCAGACTATTAATCAAGCTTCCTAGTTAAAGGTTTTGAAAAGATTGCCTAACACTGTGGGACAAAAAAGGCCTGATTTGTTGCAGATGGGAGCTGGTTTTGCCACCACAACAATGTACCTGCTCACATAGCCATCTCAGTGTGCCCGTTTGGGGCAAAAAACAGCATGCCTCTCTTGCCCCCGTGCACCTTCCTCACCTTACCTCACTGTTTGACTTTTTGTTTCTGGAATGAAGAGGGACATGAAAGGACAGCGATTTGACAACGTAGAAGAGATGAAGAAAAAAACGAGGGAAGTCCTGTCAGCCATCCAAACACATGAGTTTAAAAAATGTTTCCAAGAATAGAATCACAGATTTGACAAATGTATTAAGTGTAATGGAGAGTACTTTGAAGGTGATAAGGTTGTTTTGTCAAAAATTTAAATACATAGCTTTGGGGAGAGAAAAATATGGGTTTTGGGGGGTTCTTTCTCTCTCTCCGTGATAAGGTTGTTTTGTCCAAAAGTTAAATACATAGCTTTGGGGAGAGAAAAATATGGGTTTTGGGGGGTTCTCTCTCTCTCTCTCTCTAATCTATACAACTTTATCTCAGGTATGAGAGTTACAAGAGTTACAAAGCAATATAGGACTAGGAACTCGGTCTCTAAAGAATTTGCAATTATTACAGTAAACACATGCATACATGTAAATGCTAAGCAAGTAATATTTAACTGTAACTGATTAAAAGCCAAATAAATGACTCATTAAAAATCAAATAGAAAACATGACACATGAAGTCAGAGAAGCTCTATTTTATTTGCTTGAATAGTGTCAGCTTCAGGGGGGAGGTGAGATGCAAGATAACCCCCTTAAAGGGCTGGCATGATTTGCGCAATGGAAGAATTCCTGACAGAAGCAGGAATTGTGACTGGGAGTTGGTTCTCCGGGCAACTTTCTGTATAACAGAATGAAACTTTGTCCAGTACTGCACCATCTTCAAGATCACTAAAGTCCATTATTAATCTGCGGTCACTGCATTCCCTGTAGGCACAGTGAGTTAAGCATTGGGCTGTTAAATTACAAGGTCAGCAGTTCAAACCCACCAGCGGCTCCGCAGGAGAAAGGAGCAGTGTACTCAGTCCAAACGGGTTGAAGTCAGAAAGGACTCACTTGCAATGGGCTTTTCTAATCTAATCTTTCAGCATGAAATGTGACTATTTCTGTTATGATCCAAGTTCGCAGTGGAGCTTCCAGACTAAGGCAGAGTAGGAAGAAAGGCTTCTTCGTTTACTTTTGAAAATCTGCCAATGAAAGTTTTATGGCTCCAATCATGACGATGGTACAGTGTTTTGATCCATTTTTTTACCTTACAGAGATTAATTTCTTTAATTCCATAACAATCCTACGAGGTAAAAACTATTATTATCCCCATTTTATAGATGACAAAACTGAGGCAGATATTAACTCGATCCAAATCAATAAGCTACTAAGTAACAAAATCAGGATTCCAATCCAGGCCGTCTGACTTTGAGTTACTGCACACAACCACGATGCTGCCTCTCCAAGGGGCTGTCAGTGCCTTTTGACGGCACTGAATACCTGGCTATGGTTTTGCTTACCTTTTGTAAAGGGGTGAAGGGTACAGTGCAAGGGGAGGAAAAAACAAAGAACATGAAAAGGGGGTTTTAGGCCTTAACTTCAAGGTTTTGCTTTTCTTGCCAGTTTTTGGATGATTATCTTTGCCTTATTCCTTTTCCCCAATGCCATCCTCTGAGGCTTCTACAAGATCTCCATCGCACTGAGTCCACAAGATGCCAAATCAAAGTAACTATCAAGGGCTCATGCGGGAGGGGGGAGCGGGGAGGGAGGGGAAAAATGAGGACCTAATGTCGGGGGTTTAA